AAAAAAAAAAAAAAGATAAAGCAGTTTGGAACTTGTTAACATGGTAATTGATTTTTGCTTAAATTTTTTTTGTCAAATCTTCTTATAATCAATTAATTTATGCACCCATGCTGTCAAAAGATTAATTTATGCACCCTTTCAAGTTTGAATATACATCAGAATGTGATTCCTGTATGTCTATAATTTGGTCCCCATTTCTTTCTCTTTTAAATTTTAACCGATTACCTCTGATTGTCCCAAATTGTGGAACGATATTGCAGATTTAGTGTATCCATAAATCTATTTGTGCTGATGTTTTGAAATTTTTTTAAGCAGGTAGCTTCTTGCTCTTGTATATTCCTATTATTTCCCTTCGGTTGATTTTTAGTTTATTGATGTTTCACTTTCACTTAAGATCCCTGTACTCTGGAGGGGTTGAGACGTTGAGTTTCTGCAATTTCAATTGCATATTGAGTATGGTGAAATTAATAACATGCTTGAATATGATCTCCTAGGGGTATTCTAGTTTAGGGTTGAATTGACACTTCAAGTTTATGATTCATTTTAGTTGTTTCACTCCCAAATAATGGAGCTGCTGTGAAAGTTTTTATATTTTCACCTTGATACCTAAATACCTAAATAAGATTAGTTTCGTCTTTTATGTGTTAGAATATTAGGGTATTCTGTATTAAATAGTATTAATGCTATTGAACTACATTTATGCTAGTTATTGAACACTTGTATTGTATTTGACCTAGATTTTAGTAAAAATGTTGGGGGTGTGAAGCCTTTGTTTTGTGCGACGATCCTGGGAGTGTTTCTGTATTCGTCTTTACTGAATCTTGCTTGGTTCTTAATTATACTTGGATTAGAACTGGGTATGTTCTGGATTCTTAAATAATAAAGCTTAGGACTCTGAAGTCTTAACTACATTATGCTGAACAGAAGCTAGTGGAGAATTTGCAGGTACATGTTGGGGAAGATACTTACAAGGTTAAGTTTTGGGGATTTCCAGTGGTAGAGAGAAGAAGAGAAAAATATGGACCGACTCAATGGTTCTGCCAATTTGATGATAGTGTCAGATCTTGATTTCACTATGGTAGACATCATAATTTTGATAATGATCTGTTTTTTGGAAAAATGTATTGGGAGAAATCTGTGGAAGCCTGTGTATCTCACTGCAGGTAGACCATGATGATCAAGAAAACCTTGCTCTTCTCAGGTTCAATGCCCTATGGGAAGCTTATTATCGTCATAATTCTCTGCTAGTGTACTCCACTGGGAGATCGCCTACCATTTATAAAGAGTTAAGAAAACAAAAACCGTTGTTGACTCCTGATATAACAATAATGTCTGTGGGAACTGAGATTACATATGGTGAATCCATGGTACCTGATGATGGTTGGAAACAGTACCTGGATCATAAGTGGAACAGAGACATAGTTATGGAGGAAACAGCCAAGTTTCCTGATCTAACTAGTCAAGTATGTATCTATCTTATAATCTATTAATTTGTAAAACTTAGGATACTTAATAGGATTTTTGTATGTTGAATCATTCCCATGAGAATGACATTTTTATATATGGTACAAGGAAAATTTTTACTTTATCAAAAATTTGAAATTAGAAATGTTAGTTTCCCAGGCATTAAAAAAATTTCCGTTTACCAAATGTCTCCCAACTGAATCTGGATATTAGCTATTCAACATAAGCATTGATATTCATTTAACAACTTGATTTGTATGAAATTTCTGGAGTAATTGCAGTCAGAAACAGAACAACGGCCTCACAAGGTTAGCTTTTATTTGGAAAAAGGGAAGGCCCCAAATGTCATGCAAGCTCTCTCAAAATGTTTGGAAAAACGTGGGGTAAGATTATATAGTTCATAAACAATCTTAATAGCGGAAATTTGCCTACTTCATTTGAAAGCTTTACCTACAATTTATTTTGGATTGACGTGTATGACCCCCACCCTTTCTCATCTTTTAAGACAAACAAGTATACATATATTATTATGACTTGTGATATTACTCGTCTCTTTTCCAGTTAGATGTGAAAATAATTTATAGCAATGGTATTGCTTTGGATATATTACCCAAAGGTGCTGGAAAAGGACGGGCACTTGCTTTTCTACTTGAAAAACTGAAAGCTGGTGGACTAGGACCACTCAACACTCTTGTTTGTGGGGATTCAGGAAATGATGCTGAACTGTTCACTGTACCTGAAGTTAATGGGGTCTTGGTTCGTAGCATTATAAGAATTTACTAACTTCACCTTACAGTTGTCTGTTTTGTTTGCAAATTGTTATTGTACTGTAAAAAATGATCATTCATCTCCTGAATTTGCAGGTCAGCAATGCACAGGAAGAATTGCTTCAATGGTATGCAGAAAATGCAAGGGGCAATCCCAAAATAATGCATGCAACTGAAAGATGTGCAGCTGGCATTATGCAAGCCATTGCTAACTTCTCTCTAGGTCCAAATTTGTCTCCTAGAGATATTAGAGATTCAATGTTAAACAGGAAAGTTCTTGGTCCTAGCCATGTAGTAGTGATGTTCTACATATTTTATGAGAGATGGAGGCGTGGTGAAGTTGAGAATCCTGAGCAGTATATACAAAATTTAAAATCAGTCTTTGTAAGTTTGATCCAATTTTAAGGTTTTAACTGCAATTGCAAAATTGGTTAGAAATCTATTGCTAAGCTTGAGCAGAGCTGAGTCTTTTGCATGCATGAATAATAAATGTGACTTTTGGCATTGGAATGCCTAGAACTGTTTTAGGTATTGAAAGAAAGCGCAGAGATGTTTAAATTGAGCGAGAAAGGGCTTCGTGGCTTTGATAAGATATACTGTTTTATCATAGACTCATAGTTAAAAGTGAAAACACAACATATGAAGTTCCAGCTGATCTGTGGTCTATGAAGTGTAGACTTTTACATCTCCAATTATTTTATTGGAAAATTTAAATAAAGGGAAGTGTTTTTACAATTTGAAACTAGAGGAACTTTTTACTTATGTATCTTTTGATAACCTGAACAGGTGCCAATGCTTTTTTTCTCAATTTTTGTTTATCTGTAGCATTCTACAGGAAATTTTGTCCATCCCTCAGGAGTTGACCAACCTATGCACCAAACTATAGATACCTTAGCAAAGGCTTTTGGTGACAAGAAGGGCCAAGACTTTCGAGTTTGGGTTGATCGTGTATCTTTTGCAGAGGTTAGTTTGGGTTCGTGGCAGGTCAACTTTGACAAGTGGGAGTTATCTGGTGAGATTTTGTTTCTAACTTTAGTTTGTTAGTCTCAAGTCGTATTCTTCATGTTCCTTCTTTTTATATTGTTTGCTTCTTTATTTGCTT